TCCTACTACTACTGCTACTGCTACTGCTACTGCTACTACTACTACTATTACTACTACTACTAATACTACTACTGCTACTGCTACTGCTACTGCTACTACTACTACTACTACTAATACTACTACTGCTACTGCTGCTGCTACTGCTGCTGCTTCTGCTTTTGCTTCTGCTTTTGCTTCTACTTTCTACTTTCTACTGGTACTTACTACTTAGTACTACGACCTACTACTACCACGACGACGACGACTACTACTGCTACCACAACGACCACAACAAGAACTATTACTCCTGCTGCTATTTGCTACTACTCCAACCCCAACTCCTACTCCTACTACTTTTGCTGCTGCTACTACTACTACTACTTCTTCTTCTTCTTTTGGTGTTGTTTGGTGTTGTTGGTTCTATTCAGACACCCTCGATTGTTTGCTAGGGGGCCCTTTCACTATTTAAGATCGAGCATTATATAATCATAGCCTCCGCAAAGCGTGTCCCTTTCAACGCGTTCGCACCGATACACCGAGACACCAAAGTTTAGGGCTTTAGGGTCTCGACCGGCGACACTTAAGGAAATAGTTTACAAGCACACTCATTGGTTTGAAAAGCGCAGGAAGACAACATGCGTTGACCACAGCAGGAGAAAGGCCACTCCCAGGGTCACATTATTTGATTAACCCACCGGCTTACACGAGTTGGAGAGGAAACAAGGAGTGCGTTTTCAGAGAAACATCGTCCTTTTCGTGACACCTTGCCAGACCTGCCGTTGAAAATGAGGCTACAATGCCAGAGCTTCGAAGAACTGAGTGAAGTGACGTTGGCTCCGGCGGCTAAGCGGCTAGCGGCTGTGCTCGAGAACCGGTCGAAGAGGAGCAGCCACGGAGATCAGCCACCTCGGCTCAACGAGGAGATCTCAGACCCAGACCATCCAATATCAATTAAGGCAATATATGGCATTTTATGCCTAAGACTAACCCATTGTCAAACCTTTTCAACCACCCCAATGTGGGTCAATAGGCCAGTCCCATGGATGGTTTGGGATATGTTCGGGTTTTGGGGCCATCTCCATGTGGTGCAAGGTTCTTCAAGAAACTGCGACATGGCCAACAGCACCCATGGACTCATGGAATGAGAGTAGATAGCACACACCCCAATTTTGGTGGTTTATATGTAACACAGTATGTAACATCAATCTAAAGTCATTTTGGGGATTGTGACATCTACTCTGCAACCACGGCACATATCCCCCACAAACAAAGAAATGCAACTCACTAGACACAAAACAGACTACAGAAAGAATCCATCGAACATATCAAACAATGGAAGAACACCAGCAGAGTTACAGAGTTCTATACTGTAATTCGTTTTTGTGGAGGGGCTTGGGGGAACTGATGGAAGTGTTCCTTTGATGATGCTCTGGAAGTGTAACACTCAACAGTAATTTGATCGGACCCAAGCCTCGTCAGTAATAAGTAATATCCGACAGACACGACATATAAATCTGCATATATATATATATTTATTTCTATATATTGGTGATTTTTTTGAATGCCAGACGCTGTAAAACAAGGACAGGAAATAGCATAACACAGACACACAAGCAAGCAAGAATAATCAGGGCATCCTCAAATGTTGATTCTTCCAATACCTTAAGCATTAAGCATTGAGCATCCTTAAAATATTTTCTGACCATGCCCTTGAAAGACAACCTGGGTGATGGGTATGAGTCCCTCAGTCCACGACTGTAGACACAACCTAATCCATACCCAAGTCTTGCACTGTTGTGCTTCTTCTAAAGGAGAAGCACGTCGAGAATTGTACAGCGAACGGCCAGCTATCCGCCAGGCTCAGGGATTTCTCTCAAGATACGAGCAATGCACTTCACGAGTCTACACCGGTCGACGGACCCAAGAATTTCTTCTAAGCCAAGGTGCGTTAGAAAGGTGAGTCGACTCAAATCAGCGACTGCCCCGGGGATGGAGCTGGGAGTTTTCTGCAAGCAAGCTTGCACATTGTTCAGTGAGCTTGTGCAGACAAGTCGGCAAAGCTGGCTTTTGACTGCGAAAGTTCTTGCAAATGCATGTTCTTCAGATCGGAGAATCGATCTGAATGTTTTTTTTTAGTACCGGTGTGGCACTTTCTGTAAGAAAGACTGAGACTTCTCAAGACGGTGCGCAATAGGGCTAAAAGAGGACGTGAAGATACGTCTTCAGACGGTCTTCCTGCGCCAAGATGGGCTGAGATTTGAGTTTAATGGTTCTGGAGTTTGGCGGTCGCAATAGTTGTTGTTGCCTACCAGGCACTCGAGACAGGCTGCTCTTTGATTTGAAAAAACACCATAACGCCCTTGGAATTCGAGGCTCCAGTGCTGCAGAACATCAATGCTGCAAGATCCCAACATCTGGAGAGCACATCAAACGATCGCCGAGTAACTGGGTGTTTTTGCAAGGTCTTTGCCGCCAGTCCTGCCGAGACAAAAGGGGATGAGACGACGCCTGAGGGCGTTCCTTAAGGGCTTCTCGTGCCGACGTGAGGCGACCCTTCCGTCAACGTGTAGAGAGCGAGTGCCTCTTGAATCCGATTCACGTCCTCTTTTCGACTCTGTTAAATCAATGTTAACTGCATATCACACCTGGAGCTTGATTGGTTGATCAATTCAGTTGATTGATTGGGTCTGTCCTATTACCTGTAACAGTCAGTATATAGACAATTATCACTATGTTTGGACAAGGCCTCTACTAAGCATCATCATCCACTGTTACAGGTAATGGGATAGACCCAATTGATTGATTTATTTGTTTTGTTTTTGTGGACCGTGGATCAAGCGGAGTCCACCATGCCCTTTTTGACTGTTTTTTCCATTTTGGTGCCCCAGAGGGCGCTTCCAGCCTTCAACTAGTGCCATGGAGCCTCGCTTCCCAGAGAGTTTGAAGGGTTTCCCAGCTGCTGAATCTATGAGAGAGATGCAGCTGCAGGTGGGACGTAGAGTTGCTGCGGGTGGTGGGGTAGCTGCACAACTTATAACTTGCTATGAAGTTGCTGTGAGAGAAGCCCTTGGGATGGTTTTGGATTTTTGCATGAAGCATGCCCCTGGATTCTTTGACCATGTGTGACCTTCTGTGTTTGAATTTACCATCCCGTATCTGCTGATCTGTCTATGAAGCCCCTCCATTTCTGTGACCTTCGAATTGATACATCTGGAAATTAGAGGACATTCTCTTGTGGCATATCATCTCTACATGTATGATATCTCGATGCCTTCCAAAACCTCCATCCGTAGCAACTCGCAGGGTCTGGTGCCCGACACTCACCGCTTCCTGCGGCTCCTGGCCAAGTTGGGCAACGCCTTGAGTGGACCGAGCTCCGTCGAGGACTCGGCGGGTCGCCTCTTCGCGGCCATCGGCGGCTCGGCCGGACCAACGGACGGGGGATAATACTGAAGAAGAATGAGAACGCGTACATAATGTATACAAATACCATATATATATATACTGTATATCAGATATAGTTTAATATCATAAACCAGGACCACGGAAAGGGTGGGTTTATGGACACCCCCGACTATGTATTTTCCATCCAATAACCACCCCTTCCGTGGTCCTGGAATATATACATTTGATGATGTGTGTGTTTCGACCTAGGTTGGATGGAGCAGGTCAGCGACTGGGCGAGTCGCCTTTGGGGGTCGACTTTGAACGTGGCCCGCGCCTATTGCTCGGCGGTGTGCATCTTCCATCGGAGGGGCTTTCCGGAGCTGTGCCTGCGTGCCCTCGAAGAGCTGCGACAAAGGGGTCTGGAAGTGCCGCCCCTTGGGCCCGGATCCGGGCACGTGTCGGGGGAAAGCCTTGGACTGGTGGAAGTGGAGTGAACACCATTGGATGGAGGAAAATGGTCCTCCAAGGGGCTATGCCATCCATTTCCATGATTCCTGGCTGCTTGTGCCAAGTGGATAGGTCACATAAAGAACAATGGGAGGGTGGGTGATGTTGGGTGATCCAATGCAAAATCTTCAGTATGTGGATCTTCCGGGTCAATTTGAGGCACACCTGAGGCGAGGATGTGCTGAGAGGACCGAAGAAGAGGAGTGAAGTCTGCAGGTTCATACTCGGACTGGCATATTGACCGATCAGGCCAGGGGTGGTTTGAGGGGTCAGTGTAAGTATAGATGTTCTATTGAGGACCTCAACCACCTTCCAATAGGGATCAGTTTGAGGGGTCCTTCTGGAAGATGCTATTTGGAAGGTGGTTGAGGACCGTTGAGGACCCCTATTTTCGCCAAGGATCTGCATCTTGGCCCTTGCGGTGGATGTTTGTTTGCAAGATGGGCGCTACCTGCAAGCCAAAGAGCTTTATGTCGAGGCACGGAATGAAGATGGGAGGTCATTGGGAGGTCGACATGCAGTTTTCAGCATGAGAGTCGCCAAGGAAGAAAAAGACATGAGATCGAGGAATCCTCGGAATCCAGTCTTTTCCACCCCTTTTTCGAGGTTCTGCTGTTCTCCTTTGCTGTATTCATCATGTTTGCTTTTCTCGCGATGGTCGGGATCCAGGATCCAGCTTTCTCCAGCTGAAAAGGCCGCTGTTGGCCACTAGAGCTGTGGGGAAGACCATCATTTTTCGATATGTTTCGTCCCAATAGCGCCCAAGCCCAAGCAGTTCTGGACCCCATTGCAACACCAGTTTCATCCAAGTAAACCCGAAGTACCCGTTGCTGCTCCTGCTGTTGTCCATCAGTAATGGAGCCCAGCGGAGGCCCAGCAGAGCTTGAGCCAAAAGCTCGAAGCAAGAGCTGGCGATGCGTGGATGACTGGACTCTTGGGCGAAGAGAGGCGGAAGTTGGGTGGCACAGGTGTGAGCAGGTCGGCACATGACGTAAGGAGCATCAAGGAGCCAAGGACATCCAAGGATCTAATCAGTGTTTGGTTTGTTGTTGAAAGGTAGGCACATTTTTTGGCATGGCACGCTTTGATTTTCAATGTTCGAGATGTTTGCCAAGAGGCACTTGGTATCGGTATGAATTGTCAAATCAGAGGGGGTACTGAAACCACTCTATGCTGCCTATTCGGTGCCACGTCGTGATATGTCGTGATACTGAACATGCCTTTGTACCGAGGGGATGACATCGAGAACACCAACGAGGAGCCTGACCTGTAAACAACATGTGCTTGTGTGACCCATTGTTTTGATGGTTCGTCCTCTGTGACCCCAAGGGTCGTAGATGATTTTCAATGTGTTACAAAGCGTTGAAACTCTTTTTTTTGGCCACTCAATGCATCATGTCAGGATTATGATTTGGACGACGCGCACGACGTTCAGCAGGAAGATGAGCCTGCCGTCAAAGGTGTGCCGCAGGGTTGGCTGAAACCTGCAGCGGGCTCCAAGTGAAAAAATCAAGTCAACTTCGCACAAACATGAACCCGCCGTTGCTTCACATTGCTCCAATTCCATGCAGGTAGTTGCAAATGACGTCTCCTGGCGCCTGCGGCTGATAGGTCAAAACCTGCTATATTGGTATTCTTATGTGTTTTTACATATCAGCCATAGGCTCCAGGAGACGTTCATGCTAATGGGCTTGAAACCGCGCGTGTAGTGAAGCTGACTTTTCATACGGTCCTTTGGGGGGAATTACGTACGTGTGGACGACATGCGTACTTTGTGCTGCCGGCGTCATTAGTAACCCCTGCGTGTTTGGCTATTTTCAGGTGCGATCACACACACGCATTGGAAGATGGAAGATGGGAACACGCGGGGGTTTGGGGGAGGGGGTCAGGGGTGAATTCCCCAAAGTGGCAGTGTTGCTATGACACTGGAGGTTGGTGGGTGGGTCGCTTGTGCACCGCGGAATTGTTTCGCTTGTGCACCGCGGATTTGTCTGGCTGATGCACCGCAAGCTTCCCCATATCAGGTGTATCGAGACAAATCCGCTGTGCGCAAGCGAGACACTTCGAGCACACAATGAAAAGCACAGATAAAGGGGAAGCGCACAATGAGCAGTCAAGGAACAATTTGAGAGAGCAATGGTCGACCTGCGAGAGCTTTCAAGAAGCCTGCTGTGATGAAAGACTTGTATGGCTTGTCACCCCACCAGGATGTAAGATGTGATGATGTGGCCATGGGCAAATCATTCCATTAGAGCCCCATGAACCCCACCCCCCCACCCCGCCAGGATGTAAGATGTGCTGATGTGGCCATGAGGCAGTCATTCCATTAGGTCACCACCAACCCCCCCACCCCCCACCCCACCAGGATGTAAGATGTTCTGATGTGGCCATGGGCCAATCATTCCATTAGAGCCCCATGAACCCCACCCCGAAAGAAAAGAGGAAAGAAGATTTGTGTGAGGGGGAAAGGATGAAAAGGGGAGCCAGCCTCAGGTGAAAGACCTATGCAGACCTGCCTAGTTTGGAGTGTACGCGCTGTGTGTGCACCTAAGGTGGGGGCAGGTCCCAATGGACCTTGAACAAGCTTTGGTCGCTGCGACCACGTAAGGCTGCCTACTCAAGACTGCTGCGGTCACCTAATGGCTTGCCCGAAAGCGGCCTACTTGGTTTCAATAATTCATCCGGTCTTGGCAAGTAACTCTGGCGTAAGGCTCCTGCTGTCCGCTTCGGACACCTACGTTCCCAAGCCGGGGAACATGAAAAAACCTTGCTCGACGGGTCAACAGGGGGCACTCCTCGGGCTCACCTGGGCTGGCATGAAGCCAGACACACTTGAGATTTCGTGTACGGAACTGATGCGGTTTGCCACGGTAAACATATTTCCTGAGTAAAACGGAAAAGGTAGGTTAGAGGCCATCGCTAGGAAGTTGGAGGCCATCCCTCAAGTTTGGAGGCCATCGCTAGTAGGTCTTGCGCACAAACACAAAGCTACACCAAGCAACAAGGTTGGAGGTCATCGCTAAAGGGTTGGAGGCCATAGCATCAGGTTGGGGGCCGGGGGCCAGCGCTACTAGTTCACAAGACACAAACTCAAAGCACAAATTCAAAACGCATCAAGCAACAAGGTTGGAGGTCATCATTAGTGCGTTAGAGGCCATGGCACCAGGTTGGAGGCCGGCATTAACAGCTGATCGACCATTCTTTTCAGGACCTGATTCATAAAGAGTTCACAAATTAAGTCATTAAGATTGAATATGTTTGAATCGATTGAAGGCCATGGCATGGGCGAAGTGATCCGGAGAGTGGATTGAACCCAGACACCCCTGATCACCCCTAAGCACTGCCGGCCCAGTGGACCCCTTTGAAAGACAATATGAAGGCTTCGGTGAAAGACCTGGGGTCGAACTGGGAAGGTCTTCCCTTTTCCAACCTGTTTGCCAGGGCTCCATGCGACAGCGAACGGGAAGGCGAACGCGGTGGAGGAGGAGACCTCGCTGCGCACCGATGGGATGCCCAGCTGGCTGAGCCCTCGTGAGGGCCACTGGATCGCGCTTTTGGCGTGCCATGTGCCATGGCACCCGACCGCGCGAGGTGGGTCTTGGAAAACCGCCAATTCCCCCCGAAACTGGACCAAGTGAAGTCTACAAGAAGTCTACGAAATCAACAACTAATGGGTGAAGTCTGATATTTGGACCGACTCCAGTGGTGTTTGAGATTTGGTTGCCAAACACGCCTTCAGGACCGACACCACAGATCCATCGTTGGGGCCCGGGGAGATCGGAGTTCCCGAAGCGTTCGGAAGGGAGAACCACCGAAGCCACGAGCGTTCGTTATGTGCTTCACTGAACTGAATGAAGCAGCCTATGGAGGACATGTCCGAGAAAAAAACTAAATGTTTCGCAAGTTCAGTTCAGTTGCTTAGTGGCTTAGTTTAAGTGCTTTAGACACTGTCGTCTCCAGCATTCCATGATTTCCGCTCTTCTTTGCCTTGCAAAGTGAACTTTGCACAAGGTCACAGTGCTCAATCACTTGGCGCCTTTGCCACCAAGTCATTGGATGGACACCTGGTTTTTCACCGTCGGACCTTGCAAACGCATGGAACGCCGCCGTGCAGCCCTGGGACTCAGTGCCCTGGACGTGCTCCGAGACGCACTTTCACTGGTGCAGACACTGGGAACGCAGCTCTGAAAAGATCCGTTTTGTTGCATGCTTCAACCCAAAGCTATATCCATGGTGAGATTGTTTGTTTCAGTATTTGTCAGTGGTGACAGTAGTCGAAGGATAAACAGTTGTTGAGGTTCTGGAAGTTCTTGAGAAGCATGCCCCACTTCCATGTTTTGTGGTCAGCTAGAATATGATGACTATGTCCAAACTCCCAGGGAAGAGGTATGGGACGTCCTAAGCTGGCAGGTTGAGTAGCTCATATTTTGGAACAGGGTGGGAACTCCACTTCCAGGATGTGAATCAGCTAGCAGGTGCTCAGGAGGAGAGGAGCCGGGGGTATCTGGGGGGTGTCCCATTACCTGTAACAGTCGGTAAACAATGATCGCTATTGTAAATAAACTTCTTGAAACAGATGCTGACCACCCCGCCCAGAAAGGGCAGTAGTGCCAAGTTCATGTCAGAAGACGATTTCCCAGTGCGACGGATAGACTTCGAACTAGACTGATTTTCTCATCGATTTCGGCCTTGAAAGGCCGCAATTTGAATCTCAGAGTTTTTGTTTGATCCAGGAAAGTGCTGCTTTTTTGAATTTTTCATCTCAAAATAGCCTAGCATGGCTATTTGCACCCTAGGTGCCTCCTTAGGAGGCTGGAGCGCATGCAGCAACCAGGTGCTCAATAGTACAACTCCGGCCTGGGCCTAGCGTGCTTGGAAAAAGTTTGAAGCTAGCTGTGCGATCCTTTGCTTGCATCTCGGTGCTTGTTTGCTTGTTTCCACGGGCCTGTTACCGGGTCGGGGTCTCTCCCCTTCTGACGGTAGGCCCGGTAGGCTTTGTGTGCTCCATTGGAGGTCCCCTCTGATGCGGGCTGTTCCGATAATGAAGATTTGTGAGAAGCTGTGTGAAAAGATTGAAGGCAGGAACCCGGTTTCTGCAAACGACGTTGTTCAGACTTGCCTTGCAGTTTGTTTTCTCAGTCAGCTTGACATGTTGCAGCGCCGGCCCCCTGACACATGTAGTAGTGTTGGTAGCCTTGCTTTGTGGCTTTCCCAGCACTTGCTTCTTTGTGTTGGCGAGGCGCTCTGTCAGAGGCGGCCTCAAATCGTTGTGGCTTGTGTGTTTAGCTTGTTGGACTATGTGCACTGCTTGGTTGTTTCCTGTGGACCGTAAGTGGAGGCGAAGGAGCGAAGCTATTGAGCCTCTGTGGGCGGCTCGTTGGTGCAGTCGAAGCTTGCTTTGGTTATCTGGCCATCGCGGTAAAAAGTGGCCCAGCAAAGCCTTCATGTTGCTGGCGCCGCACCACCGCTGGGCACTGTGTCGCAGTGAGCGGCCTAAAAGTTGGACCCCGCAACAGCTTCGGGCTGCTGTTGATGACCTGATTTTCCTTCAGTTGCTTGCCGTGACGTTGCGTCCGAATTCGGAGGCTTGGTTTGGCAGTGGTTGTTTGCATGGCTTGTACTGTTGGGCTTCTGTGCGTGCTTATTACGTTGGGATTGCAAGGACCAAGCGTGTCAATCAAAGACATGGTACTGGTATTGCGTCACGCTGGTTGAAACACATGGTGGCCTTAATCCGTGTCAGCGTTCCTGAGGGCGAGCGTTTGCGTTACAAAGTCATGAGGCGGGTTCGGCCAGATGAAGTGTTCTTCTTTGTGTGCTGTGCGGGGCCGGAAACCCGCATCCGTGCCATGGAAAGCTTGGAAATCGCCACCAGGCGGCCAAATACCAACGTAAGACTTCAAAGGGTCAAGCAGTCTTGTTCACTGACCTTGCCCAAACGCAGAGGCCGACCGCCAAAGCATGTGCGCATGATTGCTTGTAAGGGACTTGGTAGTGGCCCTTTTGATTCGCAAGTGGCATGTGATGTGCTTGATGCTGGTGCTAAGCGTGCTTTGTCTTCGCGGATTCCATGTGACCCACGCCCTTGTGTCTTCCGGGTTGGTTTTGCTTCTGCTTATCGGTTGGAACAGCGTCGGTTGTTGGCTACTACTGGTCAGTTTGGTCCTGTTCACATTTTCCATCCTGCCCTGACCTCCTTGATGTTGTCGTGGCTGTGTGCAAAGCATGTTGAAATCCCTTGGGAGCTTGTTGAGAAAGTTTGGAATGTTGGTTGTGCCCCTGCCGTGCTCCACCGCCTTGCTAGCCAAGTGCAAGGTAAGGGGAGAAAGGCAACTTTGACCCGGCGTATCAATGCCAGGTTAAAAGACTTGGGGCTCCCACTGGTTTGTGGTTGTACTTGCAAGGTTCCTCGTTCTACCATGTTGCCTGCTGTTCGTTTGGCGCTTCAAAAAGGTATTCTTGCTCATGACAGGTGGAATCACGATGAAAAGCAATGGGTGCTCAGCTGGTCGCGTCTCGGTTAAGAAAGCACAGGGACCAATGGAATGCTGTCCAAACCAGTAAAAATGTCCGGCTTGACCGTGTTGAAACTTCCGGTGATATCAGCAGTGTCTTGTCGCAGGTGCATGGCACGCGTCGTGTTGATAATGTTTGGGATGTGCCTGTCAGACCTGATCTTGAAGACGATTTAAGCTTCTGTCGCGCGTGCGTGCTGTTCTCTTGGTTTGAAGGGTCAAGGTCCTTGGCTGTGTCCTCTCTGCGTACTTGCTTGCTCGTGTCACCTCCGTTTCGGGCTGAGCGTGGTATGTTTGACAGTACCAGTACGGAATATCAAGCGTACACCTCTGACATGTCTCGCAGCAAGTACGAATGCATTGTCCATGATGACAAAAAGAAAATGTCCATGTGGAAGGTCCCTTGTATGTTTTATCAGCTTCTCTTGTTTCACTTTGCGTGTATTTCGTCCAGTTGGCAAGCAAACCAGTGGTGTCACAGTTGTTTGCAGATCTTGTTACCGCCCTCCCTGGAGAAATTCTTAGGGTTTCATGTGTTTGCCACCATCATGGTCGTTCCCTACTTTTATGGCACTATCAAGTCCAAGTGTTTTAGTCCCCTGGGACATACTTGTAAGAAGCTTGGACACAGTTGCTTGAGGAAGGTGGTGTCTTTTTCTGCATGGCCACTGAGGAAAAGGTGGCGTTTCCTTCACCGTGCCCTTGAAGCTGCTTGGTTTTTACGGGTATGGGTGATGAGGTCTGGTCACTGAAAGAAGTTTGCAGAACTTTTGACGAGAGAATGTCGCATGTGGTTGGCCACGCGTGTGTTTTTTGTGACCGGTGCAGTCAGCGCAAGCCTAGTCTTGTTCTTCTCACTGCTGACGCCGGCCAGTTCTTTGAAGTTGTCAAACCACATGTTGCGATTTCTGCGGCCCGTCGTGTTTTTGAAAGGTGTTCACGGGTGTCGGGTAAGAACTGTGTCACTGTCTTGCGGGGCGAACGTCGCGTGGCTTTCCTTGGTGGTAGCTGTGGCCATAGGCTGGACAGGTTTGTTTTCTCTTTTTCCAAACTCCTCCTTGCTTTTGCTGCTTGTCTCTTGATGTCGTTTTGTACACTTGGTGACATGGTTTGGAGAATGACTGGCCTGCCTATTGGAGGCGTTGTGTCCAAAGTTGCTTCAAGTTTTGTACTTGCTGTTGAAGAACATGATTGGGCTTTGGACATCGCCCGTCGTCGCAGACATGGGTTTAGCCGTCGTGTCCACGCGTGGGATTTCGAAGTGGCCCGAGCAAGGTACGTTGATGACATCTTGTGGCTGTCCGGTCGCTATTGTCATGCTGGCTTGTGCCGTGCGGTGTCCCTGGCTTATTCCGTTCCGTTTGACATTGATGCTTGTGCTGCTTATGTGACTTGGTTGGACATGGAGTTGCACTTGCCTGATTTGTCTTGGCGTATGAAACCGTCCATGTGGACGCTCCCGCCCCCTTGGGGCGCCCCAAAAGGTTACGCGCATAGTTTCCTTTGCGGCCGTTTACAGAGGTGGTCGGAAGTTCGCCTCAGTGACGATGCATGGCTGACAGCTGCTACCAATTTGTTTCTCAGCTTTCGCGATGCTGGGTGGCCCGTGCGTGTCATCAGAGCTGCTGTTTTCAAAGCTGGGAGACTGACAAGGGTTAAAAGAGACATGTTGCTCACGGTGCTTCATGTCTCTTTTTTACATTAATCCCTTTTCCTGCACATGGTTGCCCACGGCCGGCTCCCCTGTTGTTGTAGCCTGGTGCCTGCTGAGTTCTGGCTCTTTTGTGTTGGTGCTTTGGGGCAGCAACTTTAGCCATGACTAGGCGCCCGCTTTTCCTTTTGCTTTTCCTCCTCGCCTGCTCCCATGGCTTGTGTGGCAAACCTCAGCAGTGGGGTGGCAGCTACGGGAAAGGCAGTGCCTCAAGCAGCAGATGGGGCCGTTGGAACCAGCAAAAATCGCGGGGCAGCCGTGCTTACGGCGGACAAGACCGTGAGCTTGTAGTTCGAGTTGAAACCAGTGAGAAGGAGAAGAAAAGTCGGAAGCGAACAAGAGTCAAAACTAACTCTTGCGCGACAGTCTTTAGCGCAAACTCTGTCGATGTGTGTAACATGGTCAAGACATTGTAACTGACAACCGTTTTTGTGGAGGTGCTGCATCGATCGGGAAGGTCCTTGACGAGTATGTTGCCACTTGTGCTGCACAAGGCTTTAACTGGCAATATACATTGCCACAAGGTCTTAGCGGAAACCGATCCAAAAAAGAGAAGAGACGCCACAAGTCTTCTTCGAGTGACTCTTCAGTGTCCAGTTCTTCTTCTTCGGAGAAGAAAAAGAAGAAAAAGGGTTCGAAAAAAAAAACCAACAACAGTGCAGCTTTGTCAAATTCCGACATGGAAGAATTGATGGCTTTCAGGCGCCGTGCTGAGATTGAGAAGATCAGGGCTGAAGTGACAGCAAGCATTGGCATGGTTGAGCGCTCACCTAGCTCCCATGACAAAGGGCGTGCCAATCCCAAGCAAGTTTTCACACCGAAGACCAAAAAGCTGGTGGTAGCCCAAACCCGTGTCTTTGACAAGGACGGCCAAGTGCAATCGTTGGTGCCGGTGCCCGAGAGCTGGGAACAAGTTGCAGAGCAGCTGTCCGGGCACCCGCTCCCACTCGTAAAACAGTTGCTGCAGCAGATTAACCCCGACTCTACAGTGCCAAGAGGCAGGAATGAGGTCGTGAAGCTAGTCATGGCCGAATTGCAGAACCGTGAAGACTGAACAAGAGGGGCACTACTGCCGTGGGGGCTCGGCTGGCATCCAGCAATGGCTGTTTTGGCCGGAATTTTGGTTGGTGTTTTTCTCATGGCTTTTTTTCAGCAAAGGGCTGCGCCTGTTTGGGCGCCGTCAGGGCTCCAGCGGGCATGGAATTATGTGCTGGCTGTGAAGACACTAGCGTGTGTCTGCTGCAATCAAAGCTTTCACACAGATTCCTATCCTTGCAGTGTCTGGAGCCACAGGTGCGTACTTACTACGGTGCACTTTGTGCTGGAAAAAGACAGGGGCTATGAGAAATTTCTTGAAACAGATGCTGACCACCCCGCCCAGAAAGGGCAGTAGTGCCAAGTTCATGTCAGAAGACGATTTCCCAGTGCGACGGATAGACCTCGAACTAGACTGATTTTCTCATCGATTTCGGCCTTGAAAGGCCGCAATTTGAATCTCAGAGTTTTTGTTTGATCCAGGAAAGTGCTGCTTTTTTGAATTTTTCATCTCAAAATAGCCTAGCATGGCTATTTGCACCCTAGGTGCCTCCTTAGGAGGCTGGAGCGCATGCAGCAACCAGGTGCTCAATAGTACAACTCCGGCCTGGGCCTAGCGTGCTTGGAAAAAGTTTGAAGCTAGCTGTGCGATCCTTTGCTTGCATCTCGGTGCTTGTTTGCTTATTGTAAATAAAGGCCTTTCCCAACCATCATCATCCACTGCTACAGGGATTAGGGTATACGGTATACCCAAGCGACCCAAGAGGAGTATCCATATTCCCCATGAAAGAGGGCGCCAAGGAGCTACAGGAGTTCCCCAACCCCCTTGCTAGTCAGTCGGAGAGTCGACCATTGTTGGATGTGGACCATGGCTGTGATTCCCCGGCCTCCTGCGGTCGAGGAGCGTGAGCAGCGTCATGAAGTCGAAGAACCCCTCCTTGTTGCTGGGAGACGCCGAGGGACTAGGCAGGAGTCTTAGACTTTATGGCGTACAGTTGAAGCATTTGGATGATGGTGCTAGTAATGATGGTGGTGATGAGGTGGTTGAGAAGGAGGAGGTTAGGATTGGTGAAACCACTTCATCCTAGTAGCGTAACAGTTCTATACTGTACCTTCTTTATCGTTCTTTTGCAGCTTATTTTGGTTCAACTGCAGGCCTACGAAGTTTTCCAGAAGGATTGCGGGTTTGTTTGGCTAGCTTATGTAGCTTGATAGAATCACCTGCTAGAACCTGGCTGGAACAAGGGGCCAATCCTTCCAATCCTCCTTTTACCCGACTAGTTATGTTTGGTTAGCGCGGTTGAATCGCTGCCAACACACTCAGACCCCAAGGACGCTCCGCGGTCTCGTTTCGCTCGGCGGTCTCCCCAGGGCGAAGGCACCGCTTTGCTCTGAGATGTTTGATGTGCCCTGCAGCTCGTTTGGTGCACCTGGACCCCGGCACTGAGGAGTGGGATTCGTGTGGGATTCGAGCAGTAGAACCAACTGCTGATGTCAGTGGAAAGGATTCCACTACTTACTGCTCAGCTGGCAGAACTGCCTTGGAGATAGATCATGTTCCGGGCAGTTGCTGAGATTCCCAAACTTGTAGGGTGAGTGGATGTGGTGAGACTTTGCGCCCATAATATGCGCCCTTCCTGCCTTGGCAGGATCCAATGATCGGGTGGACGTCAATAGTGAGGTGACTGTTTGACACATTTGATCGGGGGTGATGAGAAACACCAACAGTGCTATGGGTTTGCCCTGGTGGGCGAGAATAGACTCAAACTCTCCAAGATGGGGAGTTCATCTCAGCATGAGGTATTGGAATTGATCTGTATACAGCCATGTCGAGGTCATTTGTTTGGATTTGTTGGCCATGTATCTCCGCCAAATATACCAACCCGTGTCAACCCCTAAACCTGGGATCTCCACAGCAGCGCGAGCCGCTGCGGGATCGACCGCGCGTAGGGTCGCCAAGACGGCCACAACTCGTGGTCGCTCCGAAACTTCCCCTGCTCCGGGGCTTTGAGATTGAACAGCCGTGACCGGCAGCATACCACGCGCGCCGTGACCGGGTGCCATGGGTTTGCGCCCATTTCGCCCGTTTTCGCGTCAGAGGAGGCCCAGGAGCTCCGGAGGCTCATCGTGCAGGAGGGGTTCGACTCCATGGACTTGGCCCGAGGGCTCGAGAGCGGGTCCGGGACTCCCGAGAGCGAGTCCGAGCGGGCTCTTCCGGCCATTGGAGCGCAGGATATGGTGGATGTGAGGCGGGGAGAGGAAGGGAGAGGAAGGGAGGAGGTGGATACGGAAAGAAATTCACTGATGTTCATGCACCATGGCAATTTGGCAATTGATGTGGATGACAAATGATGACACGTGCAGGACTGTGTCCAGGAAAGAGTGGTTGGCCTTCGTCAGGTTATGCTTGTCATCAGGCAGTGGGTGGAAGTTGCATCTAGAATGTAGCTACCCTTTGCCTCACCACCACGTGGTTTGGTTGAAAGCCCGCCGGTTTGGTATTCAGAGAATTGGTCTCAGAAAAGAGGCCATGCATCACCAGGCAAAAATAAAACCATGTGTCCACTTCCATTGGAACATGCCGAATGATGTATATAACCTTCCAGATGAAAGGCCATGCATCATGTCGTTTTTCCATCATCACTCAGTTCGTGGCTTTGATTTCCCCCCTCACCATGTGATTGAAAAATCACCAAAACCCCCGAAATGGTGTGTTTTCGGTGTGTGTTTCTAGTGTTTCTTGTGTGGAAGGAGCAACCTCACCTCGCTGCTGCGACGATCGGATGCCTCTGACGGGCGGCCCTTGGCGCGGGAGGAGCTCGACGATCAGATGCGGAACATGGGACGGCGCAAGGTGAAGCGCCCTGGGATGGTTTTGCACCTGGGCACAGGATGGTAAGGGGAAAGCCAATCTGGATGAGTGGAGCAAAACCTGAAGTATGGGAAGTATGGTGGTCATGTATGACAAGTAGTTTGTTTTTTCCGAGTGAGTATGAGAAGTGCGAACAGAATTGAAGCTCTTATTTGGTTGGGTCATTTGTTCAGGCAAACCTTCTACATGGCAAGCAGGCTTTCAGAAGATGGAGTTGCTGCATTGCGACTGAAGGGCGGGAGCGGCGAAGAGGATCCGACGCGAAGAGAACAGGTCTTCACACGCAGCACTCAGCACCTCGCACCGGATACCGACAGCTGCGCTGCGGCCATCGAAGGGCTTTTTGCCTGTGGAGCTCAGGATGCGGCTGAGTTGAATCTTGTCAGATCACACTCAGACTTGGAGATCCTCCCCTAAGCCAATGGTTGGCACCCAAAAAGTGACCACTCGCACTAGCAGTATCATTGTTGCTAAGTTCTTGATCCAGTGAAACTTGCTCAAGGGTAGCACGGAAGAATTTCATTGATTAGATTGGACACCTGTGGTGCACAACCGAGGATCTATCGCAAGTGCCGGGCAGCATTCTTACCCAATCCTGCCCTCTACGCCGCCGTGATTTTTGGGCGCTTGGGATGTGGTGATGGTCAAGGGGCTACCGATGCTATGCTTGATATGCATGCAGCTGGTTTTACACCCCATCAGCGCTTCATTTCCCGGTGCTTACGGTACATGGGACCATTTCACCAGCATGGACCGCTGGCTTTGGATGGCAGAGCTTTTCTTTTTCTGTTCTTGCAGGTATGACATTTGTTGAAAGGCTGTGGTTGGCAATCATTATATGCGGCCTTTTCCCGTAAAGAACGACCACCTTTGCAGGTCAACCATTTGATGCTTTTTCTGAGCCAGCCCTAGAAGCTAAGAAGCTAATGACTGTGATCATGCGTGTGTGAAGCACGTGACTATTTTTGATCATTCAGCCAGGTGTGTGAACTTTTTGTGTCCTAGTAGGGTTTGTCATTCTGGTTTCTCACAGACACTGGGATGTATTTTTCGACCTGGGACGTCCATTACTCTGGAGTCACCATGAGTCACCGAACGCTTCTACAGCAGCATGCTGTGGTTCCTGTGCGGCGAAGTGCGATTCTGTGTGTTTGATCCGTTGGGTTTTGTGTGTTTGGGACCTCTCCACCCGTAGGTAGCCATGGCCTCCACCCTAATGGCGATGGCCTCCACCCCTCCAACCTACTAGCGATGGCCTCCACCGTATTCTGAACTGTGAGGCTTGCTTTTGGTGGAGCGCTTAGGCTTGCCGACGATGTGGCAGAGGTGGGGGGTTGAGACGTTTGACTTAAGGGGCAGGCTAGGGCGGCGCGACAGGACTTCGTGTCAGGTAGTGGAGATGGAATGTGGAGGCCAAAAGGCTTAAAACATCTTAAAACATTCAAAGCTAAACTGTCCTTTTGCTCTCCTGATTTGGCATCCTGGGTCACAACCAGGAAGCCTTGATTGAGCGGAAGGTCAAGTTGTATTAGATGGTGACCGTATGGTGACCCAGGGCTCCAGGTTTTGACCACATTTCAGCGACTCTTCCTTTGCCGGAATACTTGGGCGGGTGTTGGCCAAACCTGTGTGAGGTTGCTTCACATCTTGATTGAGTCCTGTCACATGGCAGCTGACCCTGCCAGCGCTGCCTTGGAGGTTTACCGCTTCCTTTGTGAGAAGCAGCCACTTTGTTTGCAACCTGCGCAGGTTTGCTCGCGCTAATGATTTGGTTCCTGGATTTTTAGGGAAACTTAAGGTTGGAGGCCATCAATCATCGATTCGTCACCTGGCTAGACGACCCTGCACTAGACATGCACCACCAGACACCCAGACAGGAGGATCCTGGTACATTCCTGGGTTATGTTTCTTGAAGCACCTGGGTAGACCATGACCAAATGAACCCTGGCTCCCCTGGCTCCGGAAAACAGCGCACACGATGGGGCATTGGGCAGCGTTCCGGTTTCTGGAAAAGGCACCACTCGGCCATTTGGTGCTTCACCGGCTGGATCCCTTCATCCATGGGTTTCTCCTTTGGGCATGCAACCCCAACCATAGTGACCTCTCTCTCTCTCTTTCTGAAGAACTCTTCGATACATTTGATGTTCTAGGGACTTTGTCACATGAGCGGTTTGGGGACATTTGGCGGACATTCAAAAGAATGATGTCCGTTTTGATCAACTGTTATATATATATACAGTATATACAATATAATTGCCCACTTGATCTTCGGTCCATCAACCCCCCAGGTTGGCACCGGATTGGGAGACCACCTTTGCCATGCTGAAGGCCTTGTGTGGGTCGCCTAGCTAGCCATTGTCCGTTCGGGAGGTGGCCAGATGAATCCAGGAAATAGAGGCCAGGTGTATCAATTCTTCTCACTAGGTGTGTTGCATTACCAGCAACAATCGGTATGTGATCACTGGCAATGGGACAAAAACACAGTGTGTGTGTGTGTGTGTCCATGTGTGTCCCTATGTGTCCCATGACCTGTAACTGTCAATCATTGAGAATGACCTTTACTCACCATAATCATCCACTATTACTGGTAAACCCGACGGGAAACCGATATAGATATAACTTTAACCAAGATATACCCAACGTCTCAGCGTGTAGCCAGGTGAATCCCCAGACCTTGCTGGTCGAATGTGATGTCAGCCCGACCCAGCTGACCGGCTCAGCCTGCAGCCCTTCATGTGGACCAAAGATGGTATCTATGAAGTCTCTTTAGACAGGCATTCGGGTCAAATGAGAGTAACAATAGTAAAAGGGACCCAAACAACTTTTCTTCTGAGCCACCCGAAACACATGAGGGGACTACTTACGTTACGATCTTGGAGGCGACCCTGGGCCCCGAAAATGGACCGAGGTCCCGGTTCCGATACGGGTGCGGTCCGAACCTTTCCGGAGTGAGGTTACCAACTGTCAAGGAAGCGATCCAAGAATTGGAGCGCTATGCAGAGCTTTGGCCAAAACCGCAGACGTTTCTGGGGTTCAAGACCGACGAGCAAAGCACCACTTGAAGTTGAGCAAAGCGTCACTCAAGCTTTCGAAAGGCGCGTTGTCAGGGGTCTACACAAAAGCGCAAAAAGGCAAAGTACTTCCAACTATACGAAAACCAAAATATCCCAAATTAACAACCAAAATGTCTGACAGATGAGCCTTTTCTGGGTCGATCGAAAGTGCCCTCCTTCTTGGAAAAAGAACTGCGGCGAAGTTCTGCGACCTGTCGAAGTGTCGAGGATCAAGAAGTGCTCCCTCGACACTGCGGCTTTGAGATGCTCTTGCGCGAATGCTTTGGCCTAGCAGCTCGGCTTCTTGCGAACACACGAATAGAGAAATTTGAGAGGCTGTATTTTTTGATTTGAATGTTGATATGGATATGGATGGATGGATGGATATGGATTAGTTTTGGGGGGGCATGTGTTGTTGAACTCCTCTTCCACGTTGCTGACCACTACTCAACCCATGCCGATCATTACCTTCCGATTACGGGAGCCCATTTGGATGGAACGCCGTGTTTCACGTATGTTCACATTGGGCACATCCATTCACACTCCGGCATTTAATTGATGTTTGTCGTGCCCACTTTGTTATCTCTTTCTTGGTCTCTACCTCCTTTCGCCTGTCTTTGGCCCCTGCTTTGCTTCCATCCCTTTCATTCACTCGACACTACCTGGTACTGTAGCCAGGCGCGGGAGCCCAGGTGGTCGGTAGCAAAACGATGATACAATTGACTAATACATGTGTAGTATACACATGATCAGCTTCGTTTTTTTGCCTTTTGGTGAATCAAGGCCGACCAGCTGCCAGTAAAAGGTGCACCCTTGTTGCCAGCTCCCCTCAAAAACACGCAACAAACAAAACAAAAAGTCAACAAATTGAGAGAGAGATGCTTGAAGGGGAGCCATTTGTTTCCTGTGTTCGGGATCACTTTGAGCAATTACTGTGTTGGTTCGAGGGAGTGCACACTGCGTCGAGGATGCGTTGTTTGGGATCGATTGATGTGCCGACCTTAGACCACCGCTGCTTTGCCAGTACCGGCCATACCTATGCTCCCCCCGAACCAACCTCTACCAGCACCTTTGGACAGGTCTCCTTAGGGTTCCTTGGACCCTTTAATTAGGTCTCCAGGGGTGACTGGCCGTAGCTTCTGGTGCTTTGGCCGCTTCGAACCCAGGCCAATAGCCGCCACCGAGCCCTATTGATTATGGACAGCCGACGTTCCTGGGTCGAGGAGGTGGCAGCAACTGTGAGCTTTGGAAGCTATGAATTGTGCCTTGCATCGTATCAAGTCGTCCCCACCAGACGACACACGTCAAAAAGAAATGCGGTATTTCAATATGTATTCCCGGATGTTTGTTCAAAAAAAACGTGGGTAAACCATGGTAAATCCATAAACCATGAAATAGGCGTGAAGTATCGAAGACGTAGTGTTTGCTGAGCAACTTATGTCTTGGGAAGATCTGGGTATTGGGATTAGTGAGTGATTTGTTTTTGGAGACTTGTTTGAATAGGTTGGAGGCCAGAGGCTACTAGGGTGGAGTTGGAAAACCCTTAAATCTGCATCTCACAGCTTCTCCAGTAAACTCCTGAGGGCCACTTCATGGTTTGTGGACTACCACTTTTGTCTGTCGTATGAAAGACAACAGATATTGTCTCACAGGGGTTCCACACACCAATGGACGCAGGGAGTCTAGACAGTATTAGAGGTAAGATTGGTAGAGATGTTTTCTCGACAGTCTTTCATGCCTTGGGATTATCTCAAAGCTGTTTGCTTTCATTTGCAGCACTGCTCAGCAAATGTTCCCTGACAGTCACTCGTTTTCGCGCATCAGGACGCACATGACGGCCATGGGTCGCGAGTTACGACGCCACGTGGAGGAAGATGAAGGGTACCATGAGCAGGCCGCAGCGGAGTCGGTTGGGGGAAGGAGGCGGGTTGGACAGCGGGATGTTGCTCAGAGCGCCCTGCCTCCGCTCAGCTCGTGTTGTCATCCTTTTCACAGAGCTTTTTCCTGGTAATTACTATTTGCAGAAGATTAAAACCCTCAAGTTGTACTCAGCCAGTTCCTTTCCACAGCAAAAGGTTGGCATGTTCTTGCGGGAAAGATGTGAAAGCGGTTTTAGGATGCCTTCCCAGGGTCTCTCTTCCACCGCGTTGACCAAGGAGCTTGATAAGACATTGTTTCAAAACAAACCAGGCCATACGGCGTACAACAAATGCCTGCTCAAATGTCCAATGTAGACTGTCGATGAATAGCACCTCTCATATGAAGATGCAAAACCGGTCAACAGCGAATTTCTTTGGAGGTTCCCGTTGAAACAGAAGTGCGTTAAAGAGGGTAACCCCAAACACCAAATGCTGCAGTGTTGTTTCAAGCCAAGCTGCATGCAGAACACCACAAACAGATCCAGCAATTTCCCACAAAAGCAAAAACATGCCATGCCAACGATGTGCAACATGTATGCAACGCCGGATGTCACTGGGATTGCTCTTGAAAGCGCGTGCGCGCTTTCATGTGAGGGGAAAAGCATTGTTGACATGCGGAGCTGATTTTGAGAGTTCTTGTAGTCCCCAATGAGATGGAAGCGTGTCAAGATGATTCAAGACATGCATGACTCGGGGTAATTGTGCATTGATGTTTACATATATTTGCGTACTTGCTAATTTGTTACAAGAGCTGTTTGATGGGCATATACATATCTACATGATACATGATGTCAGATGGCACATTCCCAAAGAAGCTCGGTTTGTCACACATGGTGCTCACTGGGCACACAGGCGGTGTTGAGTCAGACATCATCAGACATCATTTTGTCGTGCAAATCCCACCCGTGCGTGGGTCTATACTCCCTGGAACTAACAATCATGGAAGTGGCTGGCATGGCCCCTTGGATGACCATTGTTGTCACTTCCATGATGATAAGTGTAGTCAATCAACTATTCTTTATATACTCGGGGGGTCCACTGACCCCTCCCCCAAGATTTCTGGACTCTGGGGCGTTTTCCTGCAAGATGTGCCAACTCATCGCTTTTGCCAACGTGTGTATGTTATTTGGTTGTCCCTGTTTAAGATCGATAATCCGTATTAAGATATCTTTAGTCGATCACCCAGCCTACCCTGGTCTAGGTCTTCAAACCGGAAAAGTTTGTGCCATGGAAGCACGTGCCAGTGTGAGGCTGACAGCCTCGAGCGGCTGGTGCTCAAGTTTCTGGGAAGCGATTCTACGAGTGTATTTGGTGGATGGCCTCCCTTGTTGGCACGCTGACCAGCAGCTGACCCAAATGGTAACCAAATGTGTATGAAAGGAAAAGTTGCAGCAGGTGAAAAGGGGAATAATATGTTTTGTGTCCATCACTGGCGCAGGGCTTCTCTCCTTTTGGCCTTGATCACTGAGACATGAAGGGATTCTAGGCTGGGTGCTGGATTGATTTGGGGATTGCGAAGCTGAGTGGTACGGTCCCTGGTCCTGAAGAATGCACTTCTGACTCGAGGTGTAGACGCTACATAGAGACCAAAGTTACGGTTTGACTGAAAGAACATCCGAGTCAAGTGAGCTTCTCAACGATGACACCGGTCCGTCAGCTCACCTTTTGGCGAAAACAGCTTGATTACTATAAGAAGTCTGCGTTTGTCAGCTTGCACTGGCTTTGTGACGACAATCATGTTCAAATTTGCTTTTCAAAAGCATGCCGCTGCAATAGCATGTTGCAAAAGGCAAAAGACATCAAAAGACTCGCAAAAAAACTCGCAAGGTGCAATGTGTGCGACAGCTATATACATTCCGGCAAGATTGAATCAAGTTTTGACTTGGCAAGGATTTGATGTATACTCCAATTGTTTGCATCCTATGCCCGGAAACCTCAACAACCAGACACATGATTGTTCCAAATATGGCAATTGAAAACGTCCATTTGTTCGTGGTTGTTTGGGTTTCCAGGTTTGATCAGGTTTGCAGATATATGTTTGTTAATAATATGAGGTTTTGCTGGCACAGACCAGGCTTTTCACCCATGTTAATAATGCTTTTAGGGTAGTACGGTGTTTCTCCATGTGGCCATGGCCACCGCTCATTTGGGCGATTCCGTCTTCCTGTTTTGACACCGGACGACAGGGGGGCTTTGGAAGGAACGGTCATGCCCTGGTGGAGACAGAGTGGTTCATAGTGGTTTGACCGTTTGACCATGGCGTTGAAGAGGTCCACACTTGCTTCCGCAGTTGCCAGATTGGAGATTCTTCTGGCTGGTGATTGTGGGTTGGGCCTGCCCTCTTCTTTTTCAACACCACTTAGGTTGGAGAGCGGTGAGGTTGCACTCAAGGACGAATGTTTTGGCTCCTCCTGCACATTCAGATGGGTTCTGAATACGTACTGTGAGCCTTGACTGCATGAGACTCAGAAAACGGATATCGTTCATGAACCTTTGGCGGATGCATCTTCCTGGCTGGCTCAGCATAGAAATGCTGGCGGCATTGGTGGTTCTTTAGTAGCAGACTGGAACATGCCATGCAAACTATACCATACTCCTCGACCTTCCAACCACCAAGCATGTCTGGTCGTTATGGCTTTGTATATAATATATTTATATATACACACAAGTGTTTGTTGTTGTTTCGTTATGTTTGCATTTTTCTGGTTGCTTGCTGTTTTTGTTGCCTGTGTTCGCTAATTTGCAGGCGTTTGCATGGAAAACAGTGTCAATGACCAAGACTACCATAATTTGTTGGCCGTTGGAAGATCCAGGCTTAATTAATTACTTTAACCTGCGCTGTGCTCCAGAATTTGGGAGCTCTTCAGGCTTTGTAGCCAGACTTGGGTTTTGACATGTCCATACTGCAGCGAATCATTCCAGACTGCTTTGGAGTTGGCCGTTGAGATACTGTTCCAATTTCTTTCCATGGAATTGCTGAGCTAGCTGTTGGTCCCTTTACCGGTTGCTGTTCGGAGAGCCTTTCACGGGAGTTCCCCAGAAATCGCGTCGAAATCGACGCCAGTCGACGCGAGTCGTCGAGCCTTTTTGGGATTCCTTAGGCTGCTTTACCGCTACACCTCGCTGCAATCCATAGTGCCCAGTATGTGCTTTGGCGCTACGGCCTTGTGCGGTCCGGAAAGCAGAAGGAGTTGCTGCAGGAGGCGCGATCTGGAGTTGCCCGCCCCCAGGCTCCCACTGTGGGCCAAATCAATCCGTGAGTTTGGAGGCCCAAGAGCATTTTGGGCTTGACCAAGCCGATTGTCGAATGAACACCTGCTTGGCGCCCCCGCTTCGGGCCGACGGCAGGAGTTGGACCAAGCCTTAGCAGCGAAGCATAGCGACATCGCACCTGGGCACGCGACATCGACTGTCTCGCGTCGGTCCGACCGGTCCGGGGAAAGCCTGATGGAGTGGACCCAATCCGTCGAAAGGCCGCACACGACTGGGTCAGTGCCTATACACCCACCACTTGGGAAGACTGAGCCAAAAGTCGGACTACGGAGTTCTATTAGACATATATATGTGGCCATAGTGAAGAACAGCACAGTTTTTTCACGTGAGGGTTGCACCCAAGAGGACGTGACGTAGGGTGATGAGGGCTGCAGATGACGGAACATGTGGAGCTAAAACGTAGGTAGTTACTCGACCTTTCCATGCACCTTGTGTGGGCTCGAGTGGGCGGTATCAATCAGACAATCAACTTCGAAACATGGCAGGGTAATTACACAGTTTGTCTTTCCACTGAATTCATGATCAGTTGTTGAAGGGTCTGGATCAATGCTGGAAGTCAGGTTTGGAAACCTCACCGTTGGATGGACAGAACCCCACATTTGGTGTGGTTGCGTCAAGGGTTTGAACCTATTTTGTCGCCTGCGGACGCTCCCAACACCCTGGATCAGTGCAGGAACCAGTGGTTGAGACAAGCATGAGAGGTGCTGTCCATGAAAGCCGCGGGGCTTCCGGAATTCACTTCCAGCATTGAGTCACTACTTGTTTTCCTATAGCAACAAGGGCATCGCTACTAGTAAAAAGTACAATACTACTACTATAGCTACTAGTAGCAATGCCCACTGGTAGCTTACTACTTGTCTTCATATTGTATTCATTTAGTTTTCCCAACTTGCCCATGTTCACCGCTTGTAATGAGAGCCCGTGGCACGGACCATTCGCAAGCTTTCCCATCGGGGTATCTCCGGGTCTCTCGGCTTCAGCTTCAGAACAAAGGCTATGCCACCAACGGCATGGGTCGCCTCAGAGTCGCCTCAGAGTCGCTTGCTGGGAAGTTCTCCGTCCCTCCCAATCCTCGGACAGTCCGACAACACCTTCGGTCCGCTGCGACGACGGACCCGCCGGTCGCAGCGGTCAGAGATCGATTTAACCAAGGCCATGGATCTTCATCGTCGCTTGGGAGTGAACTGTAGCTGCAGCCAGCTCTATGGCCACTTGTAGCAGCCAGCTCTCGGCTTGGCCTTTTGAGGGACATGCAGTACCTTTTTCTCGGTGTTGCTTGGGTTGGAAGAGATGTTGTACGTATGTTTAGAGAAGCGCCTTGCAAAAGGGATTTTTCCGGTGAGGGTTAAAGATCATCAAAGGACACCTTGGTCGTTGAAAAGTCCCCTTCCTTCAGAGATCTAGGCAACTTGTGGCCACTTCCGTCATGTTAGTTCTGTGTCACCCTCACACACCCGGCCCCTTGGATGCCCTTTGTCCTCTACAAATAGGTGGTGAACTCCACTTCCATGTTCATCAGGAGTGTACCCCTTCCAGATCCACGTGCCCTGAACAAAGAATCACCCACGAACTCAATTTGAAAAGAGAGCCTGGCTTCTGATGGTTCTGCAAGATCGGGCAAGGTGAAAGTTGCGAAAGAGCAAGACCTGCGGGTTATATAAGAAAATTGACAAATCGGGAAAACAAACGCGGGTCTGTTAAGAAAAAACACCTGAAAATGGACCAACCGGGAAAAGAATCAACACGGGGGGTTGCTCGTTTTGGGTTCCAAAGATCCTGTTCAGGGTCCATTGGATCGAAGAGAAAAATCCAACGGAACATTCATGAACATTCTTTTTTGGGTGCCTGAACGAATGCATGGTAATTTGTGGGGTGAACATGTTCACCGGTTCTTGGTCCTCGGATTTCATGGTCCGACATGGGGGCCGTGCCATTAAGTATATAAGCAAGATGATTTCCGGAGAGCGTAGACATTTTTAGATGAACATTGCATAAAAGTGCGCGCTATGGTCTGGAGTTTTAGCATATTTACTTGGTTCGGGTGCGTTGGCCCAGATTGTTGAGCCAAAGTCCAAGCTGTTTATATAGGCACAAGGGCAAAGATCTTCAACTTTAAAAAGGTGAGGAGACATCGGAAAGCAAGGCAATATTGGGGAGAAAGGTGTATCAAGCACGTAGCCGCAGCCAAAGAAAAACATGCCATGTAACATGCAAACATTGTTTTTCCCGCGAACTGTTTTACGTTGTAGCTTCGAGACTCGTGACCAACATGGCAAGTTGATGTCCAGTCCAGGCCAGACTCGACCTTGCACAAGCCCACCACAGACTTCCACCAACTCCACGAGCAACATCGAGCAACTCTGTATTTACAACACATTTCAGAAAAAAAAGAAAGGACACACAAAAAGAAACAAACACATCCGGCCGAGAAAATAGATAACCCCAGCTTTTCTGAGAAGCACGATCGCTGTCTACCTCCTGTCTACCTGCGCCAATGAGCTCATGGGCCGATGGGATGTGGTGCTCCCCTTCGTGGCACCGGGTCGTGGCACCCCTGAGCCTCCTCGCCATCGCACGCCGCTGGGCGGCGGTGGGCCGGAGCCCTCGTCGGACGAGTCGGACGTGGACGATCCGCGCCCTTCGGAGGCGGATGGAGTGTGTTTGCCGGACGTGGAGGAGATTTACGACTGGCTGACGGAGGACTTGGCTGGATTGGAGGAGACGTTGGGCCAAAGGAAGAGGTCTGGAGCTCTAAGTGCAAAAGAGGAGAAGCTGCACCAACTGATCCAAGTTGAACTCAGAGAACGCAGAGGAGTGGAGGAGATTGGCCTAGCATTGTTGGGAGGCCGCTTGAACTTGGATGTGGCTGGATTGGAAAAGAGGCCAGAAGTATCGCCCTTTGGCCAGGAGCAGGATTGGTTGTTGGGCCCAGTGTTCGGACAAGTGGTTCCAAAGACTGACATCGCCGTAGACATAGAAACCCTGGTTCCTTAAGTCTACCAGCCCCTATCTCTGCAAAAATCTGGGCAGGACCGTGGAACATGTAAGCTACATGTTCCCTGAAAGGACCTAATGAAGCTAATGTAGCTGACATGTTCCTTGCTCCTCTCCTCACTAGGCGTAGTGACTGTAGGGACCGTAGGGATGTGGTATATGACCGGATCCACTGGGTGGATCAACCAGAAAAAGACGAGACATGGTAAACCGTAAACCCGGGAAAAACACGCTACCTGGTAGGTGAGCATGTCAAGAGCCAGGTTACACGAGAGTCAGCACTGAACAACCACTCCATGTGGCCTGTGCAGGAGCGAGCCAGCTCTACTTCCAGAGCGCCGCTTTTTCAAGGCCCTTCTGCATGTCCAGAGGTTTGGACCTTACCAGAAGCGCCATCTGCAGCCTCATCCCCAGCCTCCTCCAGTTCCACCTTGCCCAGGACTCTCGAGCGCATGGGTTCCATGCCAGCATGATTATCCTCACAGATCGTTATGCACCAACATGCTGCAACCAGACATTGCCGCTTACATGATGTCCTTTTCCAGCTTCAACCATTCAGGATCTTGCAAAAGATCGGCGTTCACAGTGTTTACAGGGATGCTGCATGACTTTTTCTACATCATAAACTCTAAGCTTTTACCCCTGAAAAGCCACCATGCTTCCCGTCATTCCTATTGCATTGCTTCTACGTCTCCCCTGCTGGAAATCCTGCCAGGATGCCTTCCCCTTCCCTCGCCCAAAACAGTGGCCACAGACCGCCTGCCGCGGGGCCCGCGCCGGGACAGCGATTTCGACCCACGCCGGTGGACTTCGACTTCGTGATCGGCAACAGCTCGGTGAAGAAGCCGAAACCCAGGCGGAACCGGCCGCAACCGGCCGCAACCGGAAGGAAGCTGGTGTTGTTTATTTTTTCAGCGAGGCTTTGTTGGGATGTTTTACGGAAAAAAGTCTTGGCAAAATGCGGGTGACCTATCTTAGAAGATCTTGGAAGTGGCTGCCTGGTATCATGTGCTAACCTTTGAAGTCTTTTGGAGCATCTACCTTCATAAGTTGTTCTCCTTCCCTGGGTTGTTGACTAACTCAACCAACTCAGACATGGTCCAATAGACTTCTGAAGCACCTCGATGTACACGGGTTCTTCTGGCGGATCCGCCGTGATCCACCAGTGATATCGCCAACAAAGGTGACCTTCTTAGAAAGGACGATGCCACAGTTTGAGAACATCCAGTCATAACATGTCATAACTCATAACTCATAACCATGTTATACCTTACACCTTCTTAGCAGTGGTGATCTCCCCAAAGCCTTGGTGTTTCAATCATGCTGACTCAGACCACTGCAGGCCACCTAGACCACCCAGACCGCAGAAGCAGGAGTCGCAAGATGCCCGGCCCAAAGCGGGGACAAAGGCGTTTTCCGAGAAGGCGAAGAAGGGCAAAACCAAGGGCGAACGTGGGGAGGTGAAAGAGACGAGAGATGCCAAGAGAGATGCAAAAGGAGCTCAGGCAAATCTGAAGAAGCAAGGGAAGGATTGGAAGGCTTCAGGTCAGAGATTGGAGGAAGATCGGTTGGAGATTCCAGAAGGGTACCCTGACGCTGGGCACGTGCAGAATGATGCCATGCCATGCTTGGAGGATGTGATCGAAGGAGTTCAAGGAGAGGTCCACGATCAACTTGATTCTGGAGTCACCGATGCCAGGATCACAACAGATGCCAGGATCACACATGCTACAGTTGATGGAGAAGGTAGCGGGCATCCTCAAGACGAGGGCCCGCCACCCCTCCCCGACGAAGGCCTCGCTGACGAAGAAGGCTCAGTTCTACCACGTGAATCGATTTGGCCAGAAGCCCTGGACGCCAACGGACTGGCGGCTCCCAACGGTGAACCCAACGCAGAAGACGAAGCGCCACACACACCCTGCCAACTGCTGGATCCCACCGCCCATTTGACAGATCCGACGAGCCCCGCAGGGTCTTCCGCCGACCCCCCGGAAGCGCCCGCGCCGGGGGCCGCGCCGGGGACGCAGCTCAGTGAGGAGTCGGAGGAGGGCCTTGAGTTGGAGTTTGGTGGAGAGAATCTTGAGTTGGACTCTGGTGGAGAGAATCCAATGAATCCAGACGAGAGTGGACCAGATACAGGCGAGACTGCGGGGTGTGGGGGTGTGGGGTCACCGTTCTTCAGCTGTTAAGTCCTAACCTTTGCGACCAGTCATTGCACTGAGTCAAGTGCCAAGGGCATGTCGCTGATAGAAGAACGAGGAAAGCTTTGCTTCATGGCTGCCTTTGTTCATTCCTCCCAGATCCGTACAACAAGGGGATGCGATTTCAATCGATTTCACCTCACAAAATGATACAAGACGACCAATGGACCATGACGGTCCGGAGCAGAAACCATGTTTACAGTCCCAAGAACCTGAGCAGTTGGTCAATCCAAAGGCTCTTTAAGGGTCGATGGTGACTGACAAACGATGACCGAACCCCCCCACCCACTGCAGAAACAAAGAAGGTAGAAAAGGATGGAAATAGGCTAACATGGGTAAACCTTTATGTTCCAGGGAAACAGGGCATCAGCCAGTCCCACCACTCTCTTAAAAAAACAATCATAGACAAATGGTTCCATGTTTTCAGACCGCGTTACGCAGGCGACATGGATAACTCATTATGTCATTTCTGCATGCACCTGCAGTCTGTCCGAAAAATGGACACCCAGACACCCAAGAAGGAACAGTCCACTGAAGCATCATCCCAAAAAAAATTCCTCCAACGACTCATCCTCAGGCCGTGCTGATCCCAACGACTCCCCGTCGATGCTCCTTGACCGAATGGAATCTGGCGCGGTCTGTCCTCCTGCGATCTCGGCGTCCGGTCTTGACCTCCCGGTGGAAGAGACGGCACAGCGTGAGACAGGTGAGGGCAAACGGTGTTATCGATCATATAAGTATATTAGTATATAGTCCATTCCATTCACCAGGTGTTCTTTGAGCCCTATAAGAATATAGAAGCGAGTTTTGAAAGGGAACGATTACACCTGGAAATGGATAGTGATGATAGAGATGTTTGCAAGTAAGACTTACTAAGAATGGGTAGATCATGGTAGATCATTGTGTTGTTCAAGTGACAGAGGTTGGTTTCCCCATGTTTTCCCTGTGACTTTTTGGATAATTAGAACTTTGGACTATGCTGCAAGTCCTCAGGGAGCGATCTTCAGCCAAA